GGGGGGGGGGGGGTTTGGGGGAGTCGCGGCTATCGAAGTCCCGTTGACGCGTGGCTGGCCTCGTGGCAAGTCGAGAGCATCAAGTTGTTCGGAGAGGGGTAAAGTGCCTCTGGACGGCCCGATACGGAGGTCGGTGAAGCGTCGCATCAGCAGCACGAGTGAAAATGACGAGAGTGTGTGGATGCATGCCTATGGGGCGGTCAAGGCCAGGGTGGGGGAATGCACGGAGCAGTTGTAGTTGTAGTTGTAGTTGNNGTTGTTGTTGTTGGTGCTGGTGCTGGTGCTGGTGCTGGTGCTGGTGTGGTAGTCGCAGTTCTTGTTGCCATCATAGCTGTCATGGCTGGTGGTCGGACTACTACTAGAGGCAGGAGGAGCAGTGCACGACGGCCCTTCCCGCTGTGCTGACCTGTCCCTTACCCCAACAGCGCTTGCATTCCTAGGTTCATGGCATTGACATGCGGTATCCTCGTAAAACACCATGCAAACCATTTCTGCATCGGAGTAGCATTAACGTTGTCAGGATCTTTTCCGCATGTGGTGCTGCAGCAACTTTCCTGGTGGGCTGGACGAGTGCCTCACGCGAATGGCCAGAAAAGGGGAAGTGAAGGTGGATGCTGCCTGCTTGCGAAGAACAGCAACTGATTTGTTGTTCAAAGGTTCTGGTGCCCGCAGTCAGCACGGTAGCTTGTTGGAGGTGGTTCGAATTTGCCGGCAAAGGTACACCTTTGTTAAAAGCCAGGGCATCTCGTGCACCCCTACGAGTACCATCTAAGGCTGTCAAGATTAATCTCTTCCATTTCGAGGCGGATCTAGTCTCTTGGATGCAAGTCGGAGGTCTTGTTGCTCGTGATATGAACTATCGGATATTGGAGTCGCTACACGTCGTTGTTTGATTTGTTGATTTTGTTGGCGCTCAGCAAAAGTGGCGGAGGTCGCCAACGGATGGACGGCTGGCTGCGAGGAAGAGCTCTTTTATGCTATCAGTGCAGACCAGACCAATATCGTGGCCAATGACATGCGATGGTGTCTTGGAGACATGTTTAAAGGTGCGGTTTAATATGCTTCGCATCGCTTCACGATCACCTTCACCTTCGTGAGCATCCTCCCGATGTACCGAAACGCAAAATACCAAGCTCTGCTCGACGGCGCACAGCCGTGATTCCCTCCTGACTGCCTGGCTTTTGTGCAAGGCTCAACTTGGACATGCGACGCTACAAGCGGAAGATCAAGGCCAAAGAACAGGCATTGCATGAGACCAAAGTCCGTGCCATCAAGCGTGGCGCCAAGGACACGCTACCATTAATCGTCGCTTGCTGCTGCCGAGTTCCGTTTGCTCCACCGTCCCAGCACTTCAAAATTACATCTTGTCAGCTCCATCCACACTGTGGATCCGCACACTCTTGTCGAAGCCACAGTGAGAGCAGGCTCATAGGCAACATACCGCCATCGGCTCACATGTTGCAGGACCCTCGAGAAAACCTTGCAACTCGGCAATCTGTGGGTTTGGCTCCCATTTGCTCTCAAGTCGCCAAGTGTAGCTGCCTCATGTCGCCTCTCAGGACGGTAGAGAATCCCACTTAGTAGGGCCTTCAGATGCGAAGCCCTCTCGCAGGGTCCTTGTGAGAGCCCTCCCGAGCCCAGCCCAGGCAGATTTCAAACGCTTTCTGCGGCAAAAGCACGGCGGAAGTCTGCTCAGGGCCTGGCGACAATCACTGGTAGAAGGTGCCCATCTAAGCATATCTAAGCCGAAGGATATAAGGAAAAGGGCTTGTTCTTGCTGGTCTAGAAGAAGGCCGGAAGAAGACTGTCAGACTGAACTACTGTGGTTATCCCTTGGGTTTGTCCGCGACAGCCCAACACCCTGCCGTTTGATTGTGGTCGCGTTCGTGGGTGTAATCACTACTGGGGTTTGGAACCGGCAGAGAAAAAATACAAACCGCCGGTGAAACGAAGGTGCTCTGAGTGCCAAGGCCAGTATCTTGCGATGCATGCACCAGCATCATCTTCAATTTTGTCGGTCCATCATGCTGGTTTTTCGCTAGCTAATATCATGTTGGTCCGGGTATCATTTCATCGTAGTCCATCATTCTGCAGTCACCTGGTAGGTAGGGGCCGGGAGAAAGGCCGGGCGGGAACCCTGGCATTCTCGAGAAGTGAGGAGAGCCTCATAAAACGGGCAGTTTTCCAAATTAGGGTCCGGTTTGGCATCCTTTTTTTATAAGGGTGCCGTACTATTTTGGGGACCTAAACAGGGACCCTAACTTAGAGAACCTACCCAGATCGGCTTCTCCATCGTTTGATGTCCATGTGCTCCCCCCCATCTGGACCAAGCAAGCTCCGATCCTCTCCTGCGAACTGTCCCAAAAAACACCGCGAAATCTTAACAACATGATGGCGTTAAGACGGTGATGATGGATTCCGGGACGGATAAGACGACAAAATACGACAAAAAAAGATGCCCCAAATGCTGACCACAAAGAAGATTGTCTGAAAAATAAGTATGTATAGATTTGCAGTCTGTGGATGCCCAAAAAAGCCATTCATGAGCCATAATGTCAGTAGAATCATAGAAGAAGTGCTGGCACTAGCACGTGCACTACTAACCCATTGCGCAGGGGATTCCATGATGCTACACAAGGGCCAGTTCTTCAAGGCCTGAGTTTGCTACGGCTCGGATGAAGCTGTTTGTGTGTTGGCAGCTGATCCGTCGCCCCTGCAGTGCTCGCGGCAGGCTTGTGTGAATCTCAAGTGGCGCACAGAGCCTCGACACGAGCAGGGCATGTTAGTCCATTGCACACCCGCAGTCTCAAGGCAGATCCCAGTACTTCTAGTTGGGAAACCTCTTGCAGAGCAAAATGACAGATCAACGTTGTAAGCCGACTCCGTCAACCTCTTATTCCTGATCGGCCTAATTCATTGCCAGGAGAGAAGTTGCTTCGCGAACCTTATTGGAGATCTCATACACACTGCAGCCCAGGATGTCAAGGGCCTGTGGGAGATTCTCGACACAGACACGAGCGGAACCATCGGCATTGAGGACGTTGGGGTTGGGTTTGATCGTCGGTGATAGTTAACGAAACTACAACAGGTAGCTGCTAGCTGCTGCGCAAAAATCGAAGTGCTGAGTGATTGTTTGAAAGATTGTTGGTTGCCTCGGGTTACTCGAAGCCTCAAGCATCTAAACTTCGCAGACCTGTGAGAGTCAAGAGCAGATCGGACTGCTTTCTGGCAAGATGCTTGTCTCGGAATGTGTTGGGTTGCTGATATTCGATCATACCGGGCGTGGGCTGACGCTGTCACATCATCGTAGCTCGTGTGGAAGAAGATAGATTCAGTGCTGGGCCGACGCAGCAGCACAGTTATTCAGCTCGAACTCCGAGTTGAGAGATTGGGGTTGGAGGTGCATGGAAGTTGGCAATGGGACTCCCAGCCTGGGTCTGCTGAAGTTGGAAGGGGCATTTTTCAGCGAGGAGCTAGACTTCAAGGCTGCTGAGGAGCTGGCACTCTTCCGCTGCCAGACGAACATCAGGGTAGAATGTAGCCAGCATGTATGCTGCAGTGCAAGCTTCGCCTAGCTGCGATGATTTGATATATACATGGTCGGACACCGTCGCCCTTGTCAAAAGCAGTTGCCATCGTAGCATGCATGACACTACTGGAGACACTGTGAAACGGTCACTGCTTTGGGTTTTAACGACCATTGCTGCAGGTTAGCCACAGCTCGACCCCAGCCGGGCCTCTGGCGAGCTGAGGTCAGTTCGTTATGCAGAAGTTCGGAAATGCCACTCGAACCTTCGCTGTACCTGTGCGGCAGTCAGATTTGCAAGCTGGTAAGCATTCCCCTTACGTTGTATAAGTTTCAGTCTCAGACCACCCCGCAATTGCAACGAGAAGCGCCTCCATCTCTCTCACTCTCTCTCTCTCCCTCTCTCTGCTTCTCTGGCAACGCTTCCATCACGACAGCTTCACACACAATGCTACAAAAAGTATTGTTGTTTTCTCGTGTTTCAAGCGACTAAACCTTGGGAGAGATAGACACGAGCTTTCCGTTTTTGGCTCACAGAGCAAAGACCTGCTGCAGCCTGTCTCCACGCAAAGAATGCCCAGGCGCTCGACCTGGATGGAAACAAGATCTTCGTCCGCAACGACCTAGAGCTGACGGCCTCGGATGTTGCTAGTTCTAAGGCTACGCCGCCCCTGCTACTGCTACTGCTGCTGC